TCGGGCACTAGAAGAAAGGAAATAATAAAGATTAGAGTTGAAATAAATGAAATAGAGAATAGAAAAACAAATGAAAGTGTCAACAAGACAAAAAGCTTGTTCTTTGAGAAGATCAACAAAATCAAGAAACCATTAGCCAAACTGAGAAAAGAAAACAGGAGAGGAAGCAAATAGCCCAAATAAGAAATGAGATGGGTGCTACCACAACAGACTCAACTGAAATAAAAATCATCATAGCAGAATACTGTGAAAAATTGTACTCCAAGAAATTTGAAAACCTAGAGGAAATGGACAAATTTCTAGAAACACACTACCTACCTAAACTAACATAAGCTGAGGTAGAAAAACTAAATAAACTGATAACAAAAGAAGAGATTGAAGAAGTAATTAAAAAAACTCCTAACAAAAAAAAAAAGCCCTGGCCCTGATGGCTTTATTTGAGAATTCTATCAAACTTTCAGAGAAAAGTTAATACCAGTACTACTAAAGGTATTTCAGAGCATAGAAAAGGATGGAATACTCCCGAACTCATGCTATGAAGCCAGCATAGCCCCGATACCAAAGCCAGGTAAAGACACCACAAAAAAAGGAAAATTACAGACCAATATCCCTCATGAACATAGATGCAAAAATCCTCAACAAAATTCTAGCCAACAGAATTCAACATATCAAAAAAATAATTCATCATGATGAAGCGGGATTCATACCAGGTATGCAGGATTGTCCAACATTAGAAAAACAATCAGTGTAATCCATCACATAAATAAAACAAAAGACGAGAACCACATGGTCTTATCAATTGATGTAGAAAAGGCATTTGACAAAGTCCAACACCCATTCCTGATAAAAACTCTCAGCAAAATGAGAATAGAAGGGAAATTTCTAGACATAATAAAGGGCATTTATACAAAGCTAACAACCAACACCATTCTAAACAGAGAGAGGCTGAAAGCATTCCACTTGAGAATGGTAACCAGACAAGGATGCCCTTCATCACCACTTCTATTCAACATGTGCTGGAGGTCCTAGCCAGAGCAATAAGGCAAGAAAAAGAAATAAAGGGCATCCAAATTTGTTAGGAAAAAGTAAAAGTATCCCTATTCTCAGACCAAGGAATCCACAACAAAACTATCGGAACTAATAGAAGATTTCAGCAAAGTATCAGGATACAAGACAAACAAAAATCAGTTGGATTCCTCTACACCAACAAAGAGAACTTTGAAAAGGAAATCACCAAATCAATACCATTTACAATAGCCCCCAAGAAGGTAAAGAACTTAGGAATAAACCTAACCAGAGATGTAAAAGACCTCTACAAAGAAAACTACAAGACAGTACTTCAAGAAACCAAAAGAGACCTACATAAGTGGAAAAACATACCTTGCTCATGGATAGGATGACTGAACATTGTGAAAATGTCACTTCTCAAAGCAATCTGCAGATACAATGCAATCCTGATCCAAATTCTAATGACATTTTTTAACAAGATGGAGAAAAAATCACCAACTTCATATGCAAAGGAAGAGGTCTCAGATATGTAAAGCATTACTGAAAAAGAAGAACAAAGTGGGAGGCCTCACACTACCTGATTTTAGAACCTATTATACTGCTACCATAGTCAAAACAGCCTGGTACTGGTACAGCAACAGATACATAGACCAACTGAACGGAGTTGAGAACCCAGATGTAAGTTCATCCACCTATGAGCAGCTGATATTTGACAAAGGCCCAAAGTCTGTTAAATGGGGAAAAGACAGTCTCTTTAACAAATGGTGCTGGCGTAACCGGAAATCCATCTGCAAAAAAATGAAACAAGACCCATACCTCACACCATGTACAAAAACTAACTCAAAATGGATCAAAGACCTAAATATAAAATCTAAAATGTAAAGATCAAGGAAGAAAAAATAGGGAAAACGCTAGGAGCCCTATAGTATACAAACTGTAACAATGCACGAACACCAGAAGAGAAACTAGGTAACTGGTGACTCCTAAAAATCAAACACTTATGCTCATCAAAAGACTTCACCAAAGGAGTAAAAAGAGAACCTACAGACTGGGAAAAAAGTTTTGGCTATGACATATCTGAGAATGATCTAATCTCTAAAATCTACAAGATACTGCAACACTTCAACAAGAAAAAGACATACAACCCAATTAAAAAATGGGCAAAGGATATGAACAGAAACTTCACCAAAGAAGACATTCAGGTGGCTAACAGATGCATGAGGAAATGCTCACGATCGGTAGCCATTAGAGAAATGTAAATCAAAACTACAATGAGATACCATCTCACTCCAACAAGGCTGACACTAATCAAACACAAAATAATAAATGTTGGAGAGGTTGTGGAGAGACTGGAACACTTATGCACTGCTGGTGGGAATGTAAAATGGTACAACTACTTTGGAAATCAATTTGGTACCTCCTTAAAAAGCTAGAAATAGATGTACCATACGGTCCAGCAATCCCACTCCTTGCAATATATCCTAGAGAAATAAGAGTTGTCACATGAATAGATATATGCACATGTTCATTGCAGCATTGTTCACAATAGCAAAAAGATGGAAACAACCCAGGTGCCCATCAGCAGATGAATGGATAAACAAATTATGGTACATACACACAGTGGAATACTACGCAACGTTAAAAAATAATGATGAATCCGTGGAACATCTCACAAAGTGGATGAATCTGGAAGGTACTATGCTGAGTGAAATTAGTCTCAAAAGGATAAATATTGTATGAGACCACTATTATAAGAACTCAAGAAAAGTTTTAAACACAGAAGAAAGCATTCTTTGATGGTTACAAGAGTGGGGAGGGAGGGAGAAGGAAATTCACTAACTAGATATTAGACAAAGATCATCTTCAGTGAAGGGACGGACAACACATAATACAGGGAAGGTCAGCATAAGTGGACCAAAGCAAAAGCTAAGAAGTTTCCTGAACACATCTACTTTGAGGAACAGAGCATCTGGGGCTGGGGCCTAGGGACCATAGTTTTGGGGAACATCTAGGTAAATTGGCACCAGAAAGTTTATTAAGAAAATGTTCTGCATCCCACTTTGGTGAGTGGCATCTGGGGTCTTAAAAGCATGCAAGTGGCCATCTAAGATGCAGCAATTGGTCCCAACCCACTTGGAGCAAAGGAGAGTGAAGAACAGCAGAGACACAAGGAAAATATTAGCCCAAGAGACAAAAGGTCCACATAAACCAGAGACTCCACCAGCCTAAGACCAGAAGAACTAGATGGTGCCCGGCTACCACCAGTGATGGCCCTGACAGGGAACACAACAGAGATTCCCAGACAGAGAGGGAGAAAAGTGTGGAGCAGAACTCAAATTCACGTAAAAAGACCAGAAAGAAAAGAAAGGAAAAACAAGAAAAGAAAAACTGCTTCTGTTTCTTTTTTTGGTAAATTATTTTTCTTTCTGATATTTGTATATTTTTGTTTATCCTCTTAAGTAAACAAACTCACAATAGGGTCATTTTTAATATGATGTTTGTTTCTCCAGGAAAAAAAAAGCAAAATAGAGTAGAGAATAGGTATCCTCCTAGCATCCTGGTCCGTACTGCATGGTCAAGGTAAGAACAAGTTACTAGTATCTTGTCCAAATCACCCTCTGAATTTGAATAACATTAGACTGAACAAGGTTGTAATGTGCTATTACAGGGAGCAGTAACATTCAAAGATGTGACTATGGCCTTTACCCAGAAGGAATGGGAGCAACTGGAACCTGTTCAGAGGGACCTGTATAAGGATGTGATGCTGGAGAACTACAGCAACCTAGCCTCAATGGGTAAGGACAATTCCTTTGTAATTCAAAATATGTCCACTATGATACTATCTCTCTAAATTCCTTTGTAAGTTTGGCCTTGATTTTTATGGGTCAAAGAATTTTGGGTACTAGAAAGGATATTTGTGCCCCCACCTCCAAAAAGGAAGGTAAACTCCAGTTTAGGTACCAAACCAAAACCAAACCTACTGCCGTTGAGTTGATTCCGACTTATAGTGACCCCATAGGACAGAGTAGAACTGCCCCATAGGGCTTCCAAGGCTGTGAATCTTTACAGAAGCAGACTGCCACATCTTTCTCCCAAGGAGCGGCTGGTGAGTTTGAACGACTGACCTTTAGGTTAAAAATCGAGCGCTTTAACCACTGCACCACCAGGGCTCCTTAGTTGAGGTACAGGAACATCTAAATTGTGAAACTTTAGAAGTCATGTCTTCTTTAACCTTTAAAGGCCCTGACGCTCAAATGTCGGGGCTTAATTTCTGGAGTGTTTGTTGCTCTACATTCAATTTCTGCCATTTCCCATGAGCAGGTTATGAAGCTTCCAAACCAGACATGATCTCCAAGTTGGAAAAAGGAGAAGAGCCATGGTTGAGAAAGAGGAAGAGACCAAGTCAAGGTGGTCCAAGTGAATTAGCGAGATGTACACAAATAGGAGCCAAAGGAGGTAAATTCCTAGTTTGGTCACGTTGAAATTTTTCAAAGAATAATTAATTCTTATATTCTTTTTAAAGACTCAGGATCATTCTTTATTAACCAGGAAGTGGCAGTAGAAAATTATCGGAGTCCCCCGGGGGAAGTGTGATTCAAACTACAAAAATTTTCTTACTTCGGAGATTCTGATATCTTTTTCTTCTATAAACCTCTCCATGTGAGAGGTTCCCATGGGAGGTTCACTATATAGTGAGACACTCTTACTTATGGGAGTTTGGTTATGCTTCATTAAGAAATGACCCCAAAATCTTAGTGACTTAACAAGACAGACCTAATTCTTGCTGAAGCTGCAGCCCTGTTCCACATTATCTTCATTTGGGGACCTAGGACAAAGGAGCAGTCCCTATCTGGCACATGCTGGTCTCATGGCAAAGGGGAAAAAGGGTGAGTGGAACCACATGATCACTCAAAATCACTGATTGCAAGTCATAGTTCTCTCTTTCCACTCACATTTTATTGATCAGAGTAGATCTCCTGGCCACTACCAAGTTCAAGAGGGTAGGAATGTATAATCCTTCCCCAGGGAGGAGCACTGTAATCCAAATGACCAAACAATAGGGCCCGGGAACAATAATACAGTCTACCATACTACTCAGGCTGTGGAAGGAAAAAATAGAAAACCAAGGCTCCAAACTCTAATATTAATACCAATTAGTAGCCTCACCTGACAAGAACAAAGGTGTGCTCCATAGTAAAGTGTTGGAAAACAAGCTTAGGTATATACTTTGACTCCAAATGATGTAAGGTTTGTTTGCCAAGCTGGTTACTGTGAATTTTATCATTTGGTAAAAGCATCAGAGAATTCAGAATAACTGTAGGTTTTTTTTTTTTTTTAAACACAGATTGTCATTAGTATATTAGTCATGGGTGGTACAGTGGAACATCCTTTCCAGCTTATTTGCTTAGTCAGCTATAAACTGTTGAATATTCATTGGTGGACTCCCCATATTTTCTCTATTCTGGTCTTTTGGTTGCAATAACAAAAAATTTACTTTATCTAGCCTAAGTAGAAGAGAGGAATTTATTATAAGGACATGGGTATATCTATTATAATCCAAGGGCAGTTACTTCAGCCAGACCTTATCAGGGACTACAATTAGAAACTGGGAAGCCATTAGGAATTGGGGTTATGCAAATGGCCTCATTGGGGATATATGGTCTTACATCTCTGCTTCTCTGTGTGTGTTTCATTCTTTCTACTGATGAGCTTTCTGTTTATACAGGGAAAATATGGCTATACTAGAGCCATCTTAAAAGGAGCCCTGGTGGTGTAACAGTTAAGCACTTGGCTACCTACCAAAAAGTTGGTGGTTTGAACTCACCCAGTGGTTCCACAGGAGAAAGACCTGGAAATCTGCTTCCATAAACATTACAGTCTAGAAAACCCCATGGGAAAGTTCTACTCTGTCTGATGGGGTTGCTATGAGTCAAAAATTAACTCGAAAGCACCTAACAACAACAACAGAACCATCTTATATAACTTAGTAATTTATGCATCCAATGGAGACTAGAATCTAAATTTCTAGGAGGAAGAATCTTAATGGACCTCTTAGCTGTGACTGTGGAGAGTTAGGGTAATATAGCACAGCCTCCAAGAGCTACTGTGGGTGGGTTGGCAGTTTTCAGAGCTGGGCAGCTTAGGCTGGAGAGAGACCTCAAAAAGTGTCAACTACAGTCACTTCTTTTCCCTAATCATCCATTCCTCATCTACTGCTCCTTGTTTTTATTCCATCTTCTAGCCCAGATTGCAAATTCATATTTGTAAGTAGTGAAGGCTATTTCTAATCATTATTGTCAATTTTCTTTCCTGTTTTTACTACAGCAACTCCAAGAGGATAGGGGCAATTTCCCTTGATATTTCTTTCACTTTGGGGGATTAGGCTTGAATAAAGATTCAACTCTATAACGGGGCATTTTATTATAAATTTTATTCCATAATATAAAGGTGAAAAGATTCATAAGAACATCTCATTGAATTTTATTTTAGAAGAAGACCAGCAAGATGATGACCAGGTAGCGAAGCACCAGGAATCTCAAAACAAACTCTTTAGGGACACTGTGTTCAAAAAGAAAATTCTGACTAAGAAGAAAGGCCTTGAGTGTAGTTCATTGGGGAAAAAAATTAATGTGAGTACAAAACATGCTGCTTCCCAAAAAAGGCTTCTTAAATTTGGTTCACATGGAAAGAGTTTGAAACAGAATTTAGACTTACCTGGGCATATAAGAAACTATGTAAAAAAGAAACCTGATGCAGCTAAAGAACACAGGAAATCATTCAGCCATAGCTTATCTGATACGAAGAAAGACAAACCTCAAACTGGGAAGAAACATGAGAAATTATCCAGCCATAGTTCATCTGATCAGCATGACAAAACTCAAGCTGGAAAGAAACGTGAGAAATTATCCTGCCATAGCTCATCCCATACTAAGCGGGACAAAATTCAAAGTGGAGAGACATGTGAGAAATCATCAAGCCATAACTCATCTTCTACTAAGTGTGACAAAACTCAAACTAAAGTGAAACCCTATGAATGTAATCAATGTGGAAAGGTTCTCAGCCATAAACAAGGACTTATTGACCACCAGCGAATTCATACCGGAGAGAAACCACATGAATGTAATGAATGTGGGTTAGCTTTTAGCCAGAAGTCACACCTTGTTGTACATCAGAGAGTTCACACTGGAGAAAAACCATATGAATGTATTCAGTGTGGCAAAGCCCACAGTCATAAACATGCCCTCACTGACCATTTAAGAATTCATACTGGTGAAAAGCCCTATGAATGTACTGAATGTGGGAAAACCTTCACACACAGCTCAAACCTCATTCAGCATGTGAGATCTCATACAGGCGAGAAGCCCTATGAATGTAAGGAATGTGGAAAATCCTTTAGATATAACTCATCTCTTACTGAACATGTGAGAACTCATACAGGTGAAATACCATATGAATGTAATGAATGTGGAAAAGCCTTTAAGTATAGCTCATCCCTTACTAAACATATGAGAATTCACACAGGTGAGAAACCCTTTGTATGTAAGGAATGTGGGAAAACTTTCAGCAAGAAGTCACACCTAATTATACACCAAAGAACTCATACTAAGGAGAAGCCCTATGAATGTAAAGAATGTGGAAAAGCCTTTGGACACAGTTCATCTCTTACTTACCACATGCGAACTCATACAGGTGAAAGTCCTTTTGAATGTAATCAATGTGGGAAAGCTTTCAAACAAATTGAAGGCCTTACTCAACATCAGAGAGTTCACACTGGGGAGAAACCCTATGAATGTAATGAATGTGGGAAATCCTTTAGCCAAAAGTCACACCTTATTGTACACCAAAGAATTCATACTGGGGAGAAACCCTATAAATGTAATGAATGTGGAAAAGCCTTCAGTGCAAAGTCACAGCTTGTTATACATCAGAGATCCCACACTGGAGAGAAACCCTATGAATGCAGTGAATGTGGAAAATCTTTCAAACTAAATGCATCCCTTACCAAACATATGAAAACTCATTCAAATGCAAAATCTTATGAGTGAAATTAATGTGTGAAAATTTTTAACTGAACTGAAGGTTTTATATAGGTTAGAAATAGTCTGAATTTAATGAATGTTAGAAAGCCTTTAGCAAGAAGCCACACCTCACTGCACATGAGAGAATTTGAAAATGGTTCTTTGTATAGAAATAGTGGATGGAAATAAGTTCAAACTTGATATCAAATCTCATATAGAAAATACTGTTTTAAAAATAATTATAAATGAGCTGCATGTTCAGTTTGAAATATAAAGCTTTTAAAATTGTAAATAAATTGAATAATCCGAACAGTAGAGGAAAAGATTACAAGTATCAACATTCCTGAGTTGCTTGGATTTTGTGTATTTAAGCATTACATATTAGAACTCAATTTAAAAACCTGTTTATTGTCATGTATAAGTAGGTGTGGCTATTGGTATGAGTGTCCTCTTTGATATTAGTACCCAGCTCTTTCTTAATGTCTTTATCTGCTTCTGTAACACTAGAAAACTTAATAAAGGGGTTGTTATTTATGTAAAAAAATGTTAACATAAAACTGAGAAGAATGAAAAAAAGCAGATGAGAATACACCTGTGCTGATAGGGAATGATATCCAAGATATATTGTTAAGTGAAAAAAGCAGATTGCCAAACCATGTATGTAGTACATTCCCTTTTGTGTATGAAAGGATGTCTATGTGTTTGCCTCTGTCTCTCTGAATCTCTCTGTCTCTCTGTATTTGTGTGTAGGTGTATTCATATATTTGTATGTAAAAAGACTGTTTGAAAAAATACAGAAGAAACTTAAGTGGGGTTGCCTTTGTGCACAGGAGTATAGGATTGGGGGTCTGGGATGGGAGTGAGACCACCTTTTTATTATATACTGTTTAAATTGTTTTATTATGTACAGATATTATTTTCACAATTAAAATACTTTTAATATGCATAAATCACTAATTATAAGTTTCCCTGAGCCCACTGCATAATGTTGTTTGATAAAGTAAAAAATTTTCTAGGCCTATTCATGAATGATGATGAATTTCAGAGGTTTGTGGTATTAAACTTGATATTGAATTCATGAAAACTTTTTAAAATCAAATACAAGTTCTTTCATTAAAATAGTGAATTGCAACCATAACTCTGTACTGTTTCTTCTGTTTGCCATTTTTCAAGAAACTGAAGATGAATTGTGATTGCAGGTGAATGAAAGTGATTTTCCAAACAATGACTACATTCTATCTCATATTTAGAGCATTAATACACAAATACCTGAATCACAGATTTCAAATGTATTGCAACAAATGCTACCACTCTCTGCTCTTGCTCAATAGCAGACACTGTTAGTGGATCACTGTGGAATAAGCCCAGACTTGTCTCAAAATGATTATCAGTCATTCTCTAGAAGGTACTATGAGTTCATCTGGGTTTGCACAGATGACCTATTTGCCATTGCATACCTAAATACTTTTTCCTCTTGAGTCATATATGACAAATATAGCAGAACCATTTTTTTAAAGTAATATTTTATTGTGTTCTCAGTGAAAATTTACACAGCAAATTAGGTTCCCATTTAACAATTACTACACAAATTGTTCAGTGACATTGTTTACATTTTTCACGATGTGTCAACATTCTCATTAATTCCATTCTGGATGTTTTGTTTCCAGTAATCTGGTTTCCTTGCCCTCTTACACTTTCATCTTTGCTTTAGAGTAATTGTTGACCATTTGATCTCATATAGATGATTTTTAAAGGTGTGCAGTACTCACAGGTAATATATTTTATGAGCCAATCTGTTATTTAGCTAAAAGGTGACCTCAGGGAGGTAGTTTCAGTTCAAGGATTAGCTGAACTATTTTAAAATTTAAGTTGCTACACTAAAAACAGACACAGAACAAAAAATGATTTGTAATATAATAATATTTGACATGTATATCACCTTTTACATTTTTCACAACACCTTCACCATATTATCTCATTTCTCAGAACAAACATATGAGACAGTAAGCAGGATTTGTCTAGTCATTTTCAATCCTGTTCAAAAAATATTTCACCTACATTCCACTAAGATACTAGTCTAGCATAATGATAGTCCTTTAACAAATATGTGATTAAACGTCATCTTTGCAAACATTTCCAGTTCAAATTCCTTCTATCCTAAATCCTCATTTGAAAGACTTATAAAGTGTGAATACTGAGAATTGTGTGTATCTTGAGAGAGCAACTCATGGATATTGTTCCCTCATCTCCAAGTAGCTTACTTACTCTCAGCTGAAGAAAATGCAATGTAAGAGCCATTTTCATCAGTAATTTCTTACTAAATGAAAGTCTGGCATTATGTACAGAATGAATCCTCACAGACCAGTGATGTAGATAACCTTCACTTTTTAGGATAAACAGTTGCAAGTTATGGCTAAGATGAATTTCCTACTCCTCTTGGAGAATCCATAATGATGATGCACCTGAGATAGTCAGGAATATAGGTATGCCTGAACAGTAGGAATGAATGCTGGAAGACATTTAGTGCATTGATCTTTGGGTGCCTCAGATTCCTCTGTAAAATGGGAATGTTGTTGTTAGGTGCCATCAAGTCAGTTCCAACACACAGCGACCCATACAACAGAGAGAAACACTGCCTGGTACTGCGCCATCCTCACAATCGTTGCTATGTTTGAGCCTATTGTTGCAGCCACCGCGTCAATCCATCTCATTGATGGTCTTCCTCTTTTTTGCTGACTTTCTACTTTACCAAGCATGATGTCCTTCTCCAGGGACTGGTCCATCCTAATAACATGTCTGAAGTATGCGAGACAAAGTCTCACCATCCTCACTTCTAAGGAGCATCCTAGCTGTACTTCTTCCAAGAGAGATTTGTTTGTTCTTCTGGCAGTCCTTGGTATATTAAGTATTCTTTGCCAACACCATAATTCAAATGATCAATTCTTCCTCGGTCTTCCTTTTCACTGTCCAGCTTTTGCATGCATATGAGGTGATTGAAAATATCATGACTTGGGTCAGGCACACATTAGTGCTTGTCTTAGTCATCTAGTGCTGCTATAACAAATACCACAAGTGGATGGTTTTAACAAAGAGAAATTTATTCTCTCGCAGTCTCGGAGGCTAGAAGTCTGAATTCAGGGCATCAGCTCCAGGGGAAATCTTTCTCAGTCAGCTCTGGAGAAAGATCCTTGTCATCAATCTTTCCCTGGACTAGGAGCTTCTTAGCGCAGGGACCCCTGGTCCAAAGGACGCGCTATTCTCCTAGCTCTTGTTTCTTGGTGGTATGAGGACCCCCTCTCTGCCCACTTCTCTCTTTTACATCTCAAAAGAGATTGGCTTAAATTGTAGATTAATCTTGTAGATTGAATTTACATAACTGCCACTGATCCTATCTTATCAACATCATGGAGATAGGATTTACAACACAGAGAAATCACATCAGATGACAAAATGGTGGACAATCATACAATACTGGGAAACATGACCTAGCCAGGTTGACAGATATTTTTGGTGGACACAATTCAATCCATGACAGTTCTCAAAGTAACATCTTTGCTTTCCAACACTTTAAAGAGGTCTTTTGCAGCAGATTTGCCCAATGGAATACGTCATTTGATTTCTTGGCTGCTGTTTCCATAGGCATTGACTATGGATCCACATAAAATGAAATCTTTGATGACTTCAATATTTTCTCCGTTTATCATTATGTTACTTATTTGTCCAGTTGTGAAGATTTTTGTTTTCTTTATGTGGAGGTATAATCCATTCTGAAGGTTGTAGTCTTTATCAGGAAGTGCTTCAAGTCCTCTTTGCTTTCAGCAAGCAAGTTTGTGTCATCTGCATATGGCAGGTTGTTAATGAGTCTTCCTTCAATCCTGATGCCACATTCTTCTTCATATAGTCTGGCTTCTCAGGTTATTTGCTCAGCATACAGATTGAATAAGTATGGTAAAATGATACAACCCTGATGCACACCTTTCCTGATTTTAAACCACGAAGCATCACCTTGTTCTGTTCGAACGACTGCCTCTTGGTCTATGTTCAGGTTCCTCATGGGCATGATTAAGTGCTCTGGAATTCCCATTGTTCTCAATGTTAGCCACAATTCGTTGTGATCTACACAGTCGAATGCGTTTGCATAGTCAATAATGTTCCATGAATGTTAGTTATTGGTGGTACTAGTTTTCACGTAAAGAAGAAAGTCAATGAGAAACTGAGTGAGACACATCATGGAGTTTGAAGGGCACTCTAAAGAAAGTACTGCACATAATAGTAACTGTTTAATTAGATTCAGTGTGAGCCACAAGCAATAATCCAGGACCTGCTGTGTGCACAGTGCTGCCCTAGGCAGTGAGGGAGGACAGATGGGACATCAGATAAAGTTCCTGCCCCCACTACTCCCCAATCCTGCCCTTAAACCCTGGCTTCTAGCCATACAGGATATTTCGTAATGTTTAAGAATTATGTTTGCTAACCAAAAGGTAGCAGTTTGAATCCACCAGGTGTTCCTTGGAAACCCTATAGGGCAGTTCCACTCTGTCCTATAGGGTCGCTATGAGTTGGAATCGACTCGATGGCAACGGGTTTGTTTTTTTTTTTTTTTTTTAATTTAGTACTTGCCAGGATGTTTGCTGCCCGTGGATCTTTGTACCTTCTGTTATGCAGAAATTTCCATTCCCCACCTGTTTTCCAACAAATTCCTGCCCTTCCAAGATTCTGTTTTTAAAAATCATGTCCTAAGCCTTCCTGAGACCCCCTGCTCACACCCCCACCCCCACCACTCAACCCCTGTGTCTTAGTCTTCTAGTGCTGCTCTAACAGAAATACCACAAGTGGATGGATTTAACAAAGAGAAGTTTATTCTCTCACAGTCCAGTAGGCTACAAGTCCAAATTCAGGGCATCAGCTCCAGGGAAACACTTTCTCCGTTGGCTCTGGAGGAAGGCCCATGCCATCAATCTGCCTTTGGTCTGGGAGCTTTTTTGGTCCAAAGGACGCGCTCTGCTCCCGGCACTGCTTTCTTGGTGGTATGAGGTTCCCATGTGTCTCTGCTCTCTTCTCTCTTTTATATCTCAAAAGAGATTGGATTAAGACACTATCTAAACTTGTAAACCTCATCAGCATAACCTCATCACAGTGATAGAATTTACAACACATAAGGAGATCACA